CCAACCATAGCTCTGCTAGAGTTACTGTACCAGCAGCTATACAGCATTTCTCCATCAGGTGCAAATTGGAGAGACAAGCTCTGGTGTGGAGCAATTAATTCTACAGTAATGTCTGTCAGTTAATCCATTATTTACTTCTCCTCCCTGCTGACTTTAAGGCTTCATGTCTACGTCTGGGTTCTTCAGTTTGCTCAAAGATATCACAACTACTAACATGGGCAAAGACACCTTGCCTGAGCCCTGGATGGACAAAAGTGAATCGCAGGTACAGAAACTTTTAGAGTTTGAGTAATAATATATGACAGTGTGGTTTAAAGACTGCAAAACATTTCTGCCTCATGTTGTTCTGTCATATTATGCAGATTTTGCAAACAGTGTTATTGTCTGTTCTGTTCCCAGTTGATGGAGATTGTGTCTTCATTGACGGACAGCTATGAGCTGGTAGACTGGCGTCGGTTTCTGCTCAGTGCTGCTCTTCCTTGGCCATTTCCTTTGTTAAGTCAGCTGCTGGATGTGCTACAACAGTTCAAGGCAGCAGATACTAGTGACACAGGCTATATAAATGAGGAGAACTACTTGAAAGTAAGTCCATTTGTTGCTTTGTTAACTGTAACATTTTAACAGATTTTTTAGAAATCGCATTAAATCATTCTACTCTAGATAAAGCTACCCTCACACTTTCTATGACCCTTCTTGTTCCGTGATCAGGCCTTGGTTTGAGTTATAATATCACATTTAGACTGTATTATGTATTTGGTAGAGTATAAAATGAAATACTTACCTCCCTAAAAGGAAGTGATTAAGTAGCTTTTCTTGCCTCTTTGTCATCAGACAGAGTTGTGGTTCTCCACTGAAAGTGTCCAGACTGTTCCCGAGGACCCCTCTGAGCCTGTACCTTATGTGCGTCTGGCCAACCTTCGCAAGGTGACTTCCTATCAAGCCTAAAAGCTTGGTTGGGTTGTTTCACTGCCACAGTGGTAAATTTAGATGGGCGTAGTGCACAAGCAACATAAATGAAAAAAAAAAAACAAAAACACACACACAAGAAAGTGTAAAAACATCAAAGGTGCTATAGACCATTTTCCAGCTTTCCAGCTTTTCCATTTTGTTCATTTCCATATTGTAAAAATCATTAACCTACAACACAAAAGGGAGTGGATCCAGTCATTCTGATCATTTTCTAATTCTCCATCATCTTTTTTCAGGTTAAATGAGCTGCAGTTAATAAACGAATTAACTGTAAAATGTGGTCTTTTTTCTTTCCTCAGTTCTTTTTCCACATGTTTGCAGACCACTCCTTCTCTCCCTCTCGATTGGATTATGTGTCCATGCTGAAGTACTTTGCTGCAGACCCCAACCCCACACAGGGCTTCATCCGAGCACTTAG